GTCTGCTTTCCACAGTAGGCTTGTGAGGTGGGCTGGAGAATTAGCATTTCTAACAAGTTTCCCAGGTCATACACTGCTAATTTGGGACTACATTTGAGGATTATTTATTAAAAATAAATATTTTTTTCTGTTTGATCACACTAATCCTCTACTTTGCCTTCTGTCTCACTCTGAAGCTTTTCTGATGTGGTTTCTACAGAAAATAAACCTTTAGTTTCCTGGCTTGGAGATGGGGACTTTGAGTAAGAGCAATGGTTGCCAGACAATTCAGCGTTGGGTGAAGGGAACTTGGGGTCCCAACTTCTCTCTATAAACTTTCAGTCAATCTCCATATTTTTACCCAGTTCCATGCAGGCTGCCTTTCACCATGCTTGATACCCCCAGGTGCTGGATACAGGGAGATCTTCTTCCTCTCTAATTATTTTTGCAGGAATTTGGGTTGAGGCATTTCCTCTACTTTATCAAGGCAGTTAACTCTTCTTCATTAGTGATTTTCCAGTTCCCAAAAAGTTATTGAAGTCTTTGTCCTCTCTGTGTCCTCTTCTATTTTTTATGGTGTTAAAAAAAATCCTTTACTATCATTTTAGCATGGTTTGGGAAAGAAATTGAGGGGAAAACATGGTCCATTTTTTTTTAGATCCAGCTTAATTCTCTCTAAGTTGTGGTGCAAGGAAAAGATTTTTTAAAGAATCTTTGGGTAATGATGTTGTGTACTGCATGATTTATGAAAGAAAGAATGTAATGGGCCTTGGTTCGGTTTTTGGTGTCTTTTGTGTTCAGAAATACACATATTGACATAGATAAGAGCTATAAAGAAGAGTTTTATAAAATCACAGGTTGTTTTAAGAAAAATTTTATCCATTGTTAAAGGACTATTAAGAGTGAAATGAGGGTAAAATTGAAGCAAGTTTGTTTTAATCAAACTTATGATAGAGTGACTAAGCAGCTGTTAGAATGAATTCAAAGTAATGTGCTTAGATGCTCTGCAATTCCTTCACAAGTTATATATATATTTTTAAAGATTTATTTATTCATGAGAGACAGACACAGAGAGAGAGAGAAGTAGAGACACAGGAAGAGAGGAGAAGCAGGCTCCATGAAAGGAGCCCGATGGGGGACTCGATCCCAGATCCAGGGATTACACCCTGAGCAGAAGGCAGACACTCAACCGCTGAGCCACCCAGGTGTCCCTCACAAGTTGTATTTTAAAACAGCAATAGCAATAATGATGTTGATGTATGTTTTGTATAGTGTATCCTACTTAGGATATTTTGAGGAAGTTGCTGTGTACTTTCTAAGCTCCTTTGTAATGATCAGCATTTAGCAGAAAAGTAGTCTCAGTTTTGCTTGGCAAATTTACAGAAATGAAGACAGCTGGGATCAATAAGAGGCGTGCCCGAGGGGAGCGCCGGCTTCATTTGGCTGCCAGAAGAGGAACTTTGTCTCTGGTGAAGGCTCCAATAGAATCTGAAGCAGATGTGAATCTAAAAGACAATGCAGGTTTGGATTCTTGAAATTTTCATTGTGTTTATAACTTGAACTCCCTGAAATCCACATTTCATCCACCCTACCCCAGTTTTGATCCTGGCTGCTAACTTTGAACTGTCTTAATAATATATCATTTAATTAATAGTTAAGTTCATCGTGGTTTTCACCAATTGCTAAAATAACCTCCTCTGAAATAGTTTTTAACTTACATGTGGGAGCATTCAGAGGGAGTATACATATTGGAGAGTAAGGAGAGCTTTATTTAGGTCTTTTCCTTGGAGATCTTAATACTATTCTCTTGCTTTGGAGAAAATGTCAGTTTTTTTTTTTCATTTCCCTGTTCCCTCTCTTTCTCCTCTCTTTACACTATTTGTTGTCTCTTTCCTTATTTTTATTTTCAGCCTCCATTTTTAAATTCATCTTCTAATATTTTGCTCAAGCACGAGAAAGTCATATGTGAGGTCTTAACAGAGGGAAAATCTCAAATATTGATTTCAGGCATTCTATGTCATTTTGAAGAGATATGTGACAATGCAGTGATACAGATAGGGAAGACAGACTAGATCTTACTCTATTTTAATATCTAAGATGAAACAAATTGACATGATTTTTATTTACTCTAGTCCCATTATATTTTATGTTCTGTGGGTCTTCTGTTTTGGCACTTGGATCAACCAATCTTTTTGATGAGATTGGTTTGTTTTAAAAATTGAAACATTTTAGGGCCATGGTTTTCAATATTATTTCTTGTAAATACTTAGTATGTATATTTGAATCAATATAGGTACTCATTGCAATAGTGCAAATTACCTTAATAATGAAGATATTAATGAATGTTGGTTTGTAAGCAGCAGCTTGTTTTGTTCTTTTTTCCTTTTTTAGGTTGGACACCACTTCATAAGACATCTACTAAGAGATCTCATGATAGAATTGTAGAGTTGTTAAAAGCTGGTGCTAATGTTAATTTTGAAAAACTAGATGGGATTCTTCCCTTACATGATGCTGCTGCCAACACTCATTTAAAGGTACAATGCACATCAGATTGGGTTCCTATTACTTTTTCTTAGAGAAACAAGTGAAGAAAATGAAGATATTTTAAACTGAGCATTAAAGTGATTCCTCAGGATGCCTGGGTGGCTCAGTAGTTAAACTTCTCTGCCTTCGGGCAGGTGGGCTCAAGTCATGATCCCAGAGTCCCAGGATCAAGTCCCACATCAGGCTCCCTGCATGGAGCCTACTTCTCCCTCTGCCGGTGTCTCTGCCTCTCTCTGTGTGTCTCTCATGAATGAATGAATGAATGAATGAATAAATGAATAAATAAATAAATAAATAAAATCTTAAAAAAAGAAGAAGAAGAATATCAGAAAGGGGCACCTGAGTGGCTCTACCAGTTAAATGTCTCACACTTGATCTCAGCTCAGGTCTTGATCTCAGGGTCATGAGTTCAAGCCCTAGACTGGGCTCCATCCTGGTTATGGAGCCTACTTAAAAAAATAATAATAATAGTAATGCCAGATGAGTGGGCTATCATCCAGAGTTTTTTCATTTGTTTTCTCATTGTGTTTTTGATTTATATTTTGCTGATGGCGAATGATGCAGAACATTTTCTTTTTTTTATTATAAATTTATTTTTTTATTGGTGTTTGGAACATTTTCTCATGTGCTGTTGGCCATGTGTATGTCTTTGGTGAAATTTCTGTTCATGTCTTTTGCCCATTTCATGATTGGGTTGTTTGTTTCTTTGCTGTGAGTTTAATAAGTTTTTCATAGGTTTTGAATACTAGCCCTTTATCTGATATGTCGTTTGCAAATATCTTCTCCCATTCTGTAGGTTGTCTTTTAGTTTTGTTGACTGTTTCTTTTGCTGTGCAGAAGCTTTTTATCTTGATTAAGCCCCAATAGTTCATTTTTGCTTTTGTTTCCCTTGCCTTCATGGATGTGTCTTGCAAGACGTTGCTGTGGCCAAGGTAAAAAAGGCTGTTTCCTGTGTTCTCCTCTAGGATTTTGATGGATTCTTATATCACATTTAGATCTTTCATCCATTTGAGTTTATCTTTGTGTCTGGTGTAAGAGAATGATCTAGTTTCATTGTTCCGCACATGGCGGTCCAATATTCCCAGCACCATTTATTGAAGAGACTGTCCTTTTTCCAGTGGATAGTTTTTCCTGCTTTGTCAAATATTAGTTGGCCATAGAGTTGAGGGCCCATTTCTGGGTTCTCTATTCTGTCCCATTGATCAATGTGTCTGTTTTTATGCCAGTACCATAAAATCTTATGGTACTGTCTTGATGATCACAGCTTTGTAGTACAACCTGAAATCCAGCATTGTGATGCCCCCGGCTCTGGTTTTCTTTTTCAGTATTCCCCTGGCTATGAATAGAAGGGAAGGGAGAAGAAATGGGTAGGAAATATCAGAAAGGGAGACAGAACATAAAGACTCCTAACTCTGGGAAACGAGCTAGGGGTGGTGGAAGGGGAGGAGGACAGGGAGTGGGGGTGAATGGGTGACGGGCACTGAGGGGGGCACTTGATGGGATGAGCACTGGATGTTATTCTGTATGTTGGCAAATTGAACACCAATAAGAAATAAATTTATTATTTTTTAAAAAAGTATTCCCCTGGCTATTCTGGGTCTTTTCTGATTCCATACAAATCTTAAGATTATTTGTTCCAAGTCTCTGAAGAAAGTCATGGTATTTTGATAGGGATTGCATTAAATGTGTTAATTGCCCTTGGTAACATTGATATTTTCACAATATTAATTCTTCCAATCCATGAGCATGGAATATTTTTTTAATATTTTATTTATTTATTCATGAGAGACACAGAGAGAGAGAGGCAGAGACACAGGCAGAAGGAGAAGCAGGCTCCATGCAGGGAACCCAATGCGGGACTCGATCCTGGGTCTCCAGGATCACACCCCGGGCTGCAAGCGGCGCTAAACCGCTGCGCCACTGGGGCTGCCCGAGCATGGAATATTTTTTCATCTCTTTGTGTCTTCCTCAATTTCTTTCAGAAGTGTTCTGTAGTTTTTAGGGTATAGATCCTTTACCTCTTTGGTTAGGTTTATTCCTAGGTATCTTATTCTTTTGGGTGAAATTGTCAGTGGCATTTGCTCCTTCATTTCTCTTTCTTCAGTCTCATTGTTAGTGTATAGAAGTGCCACTGATTTCTGGGCATTGATTTTGTATCCTGCCACACTGCTGTATGAGTTCTAGCAATCTTGGAGTGGCGTCTTTTGGGTTTTCTATGTACACTATCATGTCATCTGCGAAGAGGGAGAGTTTGACTTCTTTTTTGCCAATTTGAATGCCTTCTATTTCCTTTTGTTGTCTGACTGCTAGGGCTAGGACTTCCAGTACTATGTTGAATAGCAGTGGTGAGAGTGGACATCCCTGTCATGTTCCTGATCTTAGGGGAAAGGCTCCCAGTGCTTCCCCATTGAGAATGATATTTGCTGTGGGCTTTTCGTAGATGGCTTTTAAGATGTTGAGGAATGTTCCCTCTATCCCTACACTCTGAAGAGTTTTGATCAGGCATGGATGCTGTATTTTGTCAAATACTTTCTCTGCATCTAATGAGAGGATCATATGGTTCTTGTTTTTTCTCTTGTTGATGTGATCTCTCATGTTGATTGCTTCTCATTTTGAACCAGCCTTGCATCCCGGGATAAATCCCACTTGGTCATGGTGAATAATCTTCTTAATGTACTATTGGATCCTATTGGCTAGTTTCTTGTTGAGAATTTTTGCATCTGAGTTCATCAGGGATATTGATCTATAATTCTCCTTTTTGGTGGGGTCTTTGTCTGGTTTTGAAATGGAAATATATGGATTTTTTTATAATGATGGAATGTTTCTGAGTCATGGTTATAGTAGTGATTACTCCAGTAAAGCTGATTATAAAAAAAAAAAAAGGCAAGGGGCCTACTTCTTGGTCACCTAATTTTTGTCATATTCTTTGTTCCTTAGGTCTACCCCATCATGTTACCTGGAACTCTCTCCCAACTATAGCTTTCGCCTTGCCTGCTAAGTGCCTTTTTGTGCTGTTGCTATTCTCTTACACTTTTGCCTACGCATGACCCTTACGGAAACAGCTGTTCAGGGTCCTATTCCATCTGAGCTGAGTTCTCTGTGTCTTCCAAACTAATATATTAAATGAGTCCATGTTAACACATTAAAGGTCAAAGCCTTCCTGTAGGAAGGCCTCATCTTAACACACAAAATAGTCATTATTAATATAGTGTAATTTTTAAGTCCAGAAAAGCTTCCTTTGTTAAAGAACAACAACAAAAAAACTACCTTTCTTCCTCCCAAATATATAGTAAAGATTTTATTTATTTATTCATGAGAGACCAGAGAGAGAGAGAGAGAGGCAGAGACACAGGCAGAGGGAGAAGCAGGCTCCATGCAGGGAGCCTGATGTGGGACTTAATCCCGGGTCTCCAGGATCACACCCTGGGCTGAAGGCGGCACCAAACTGCTGAGCCACCCCCTGCTGCCCACTCACTCCCTCTTTTAAAAAACAAAACAAAATACCTTTACTCAGACTTCAGTAAGTTTTTATCAAAAATCTTTGTTGGAGACTTTCTTCATATGCTATTTATTATCCACTGTCCCTCATTACTTAAGTTGGTCTTTTTACTCCTCTAGAGAAAAAGGGGGCTTAGGGGACTTTCATTAAGAATCCATTAGGGGAAAAAAAAAGAATCCATTAGGGGTGGTGGAAGGGGAGGTGGGCGGGGGGTGGGGGTCACTGGGTGGCGGGCACTGAGATGGGCACTTGACAGGATGAGCACTGGGTGTTATTCTGTATGTTGACAAATTGAACACCAATAAAAAATAAATTTATTAAAAAATAATCCATTATGAATATGGTGTTTGACAGAGGCTCACATTTAGTTCTTTTAGGTGATAAAAATGAGGTTCAAATGGTAAATAACTTGCTCAAGGACATAGCTAGTAGGTAGCAGGAATGAGTTTTGTATGCTTGATTTTAAAACAAACATATTTTCTCTTAAGCTAATTTCTCTTGTGCGAACTCTGGGCTGATGGGATAAATGAGGGGCTATCCTTATCATCTTCATTGGCCCATTTACTCCTAAATTTCTCTGCTTCTCCATACCTGGACATAAGGAGAAAAGATAAGCCACTAACACAGAGCATATCTCTATTTTAAACAAAATCCTGACCATGTTTTTCTACTCCGGTTTTTCAGTGATTTGAGTCCCTTACTTGACTCACACAGATGGAATCATTGGCTGTTTTTCACTAGTTGACTTCTACCATAGCTAATTAGTAACATCTTTAACTTTGATCATTTACAAACTCCCAATATATAACAGCTTTGAGTTATTCAGAGAAACCTTATTTATGTTAGAAACCATCCCCCACCCAATGTTACAACCTCTTTGACCTCAGTTTCCTCTTCTGTAAGATGATCAGGTTGGAGTAGATTATTTCTAAATTTCTTTTTACCTTTAAGATTCTGTGCATATAATTCACTTATTTAGGACACATAACAAATATATTCAGATACTATTAGAAGGGTCATTGGATTTTCAAGCTAGCTCATTAAACTTCTTGAACAAGTAACATACCTAAAATATAGTGATGCAGGTTGGAGGAAAGGACAAGGGCTCTGTTAAAGAGATAGAGTCAGTCTTGTATATCATTCTACCTGTGTGTGCTTCTTAACTGCAATGAAGGCAGCATCTCCGGTATTTTCATGTCATTGTTTGGTTCTTCTTGAGGACAGGTCAGGCCAAATCATTAAATTATTTTATAGCTTTCATATAAAATTTAATAAAAAATTTTCTTGGCTAGCATTTGAAACTTCTTTTGATAACTTTTAATACTTTGATAACTTTTAATAGTGGTGTATTATAATGAAAGCAGAAATTATTGATCTTAGGTGTCTGTAGGGATAACTTTGGAAAAATACCTTGTAGGCAGCTGAGATTCTACTACCACATGGAGCAAACCCAAATCAAAAGAATCAAAAACAGAAAACTGCTTTGGATGAAGCAGATAATGAAAAAATGAAAGAGCTACTGATATCTTTTGGTGCAATTGAGACTGATAATAGAAATGAAAGTAATGCTACAGTCACTGGTATGTATGTCAGTATTGCTTGCTCTCTTATACAAGTGTATACATACCTCTGCTTAGAAAAATAAATCTTCAGATTTGTAGTGTAAATTGTTTCATAACTGGGGTAAATGTTTTGTGTGCTTACTAAACTCTTGAAAAGCATTTTTTATTTTTGGAACTTGGCATTTCCAAACATGGTTTAATTTATATACCATATGATCCTATTGGATTGGAATTACATGTTGAAATGGAGCCCATATTATTCATTAAACAATTATTAATCTTTACCATTGAGTCTGTGATAGAGATTTAACTGAAACCACACAGATTGGCTTACTGTTAGTAAGGCCAGAAAAGGTTGATATTATACGAAAGTCTTTGCAATTAAGATTCCGTTACTTCAAAATTTATAGTGGTGTATGTGAAAGTTGGACCGATGCCAACTTTTCAATAATCTAACGTTTGATGCTAGAATATGAATTTGTTAATAAGCAAATATACTTATATGTGTATGTGTAAATAGAGTATAAAAATATTTCAAGGTAATTTATAGCAGGGCAAAATTTTATGAACCATTTTAAAAAAATAGTTTGCATTTAAATAATATAGTGAACTATATATAAGAAATAAGCATGTTGTGAACACTAATATAGAAAACACATTTGTTAAGCACCTGCCAAGCAAACTAGGTACTTGCCCATGAGGAACTTCGAGTCTTGTGGGAAGGTCAACCAGAAAACAGTTAAACACAATTTATTAAGTGTTGAGGAGAGTGAGTTGTTCTTCCTTTTCTGTTCTTTTCTGCATGAGCCTTGACTCATTAGAGAAACCCAGGAACATACCTGCTCCTTCTCCCTATGAGGTGGAATAATTGGGGAAAGAATCCCCATTACACAGTTTTCCCCTAGCCTACCACTATCCTTACCAGTTGTTTTTCAAGAGAAGAATTATGTTACTGATATTATTGGTCAGAGCTAAAGATAATCACTGTCTCATATATTACTAGTGAGTAAGAGCACATGTAGGTCAAAGTCAAGACTGATACAAGGTTCCTCTTTTCATTGTGTGCTACTGTATAGTAAGTTTATAGGGTCAGGGCCTTTCTTAGAGCCCCAGGCATGTCTTTCTCCCTCTCCACAGCCATATTTGGAATTATTGGGCACTCTGTTGTGAAGTGCTATATATCTATTCCCACCTGTCTGTTGTTTCTTGTGTATACATTTCCTTGGTCAGGTACCCTAAAGGGATGAGGGATGTAGGGTACAATACTTATATGAAGAAAGGGAACCCAGAATGGGAAAAGGATGAGAGACAATGAATTGTAGGCATAATGATTAAGAGCATGGATTTTGGAATCAGATCTGGTTTCAGTACTGCTATGTGACTTGAAGGAAACTTCCCAAATCCCACTAAGCTTCATTCTCCTCTTCTGTAAAATGGATAGAATAAACTACCTATCTTACAGGGGTTATATGAAGATTAAATAAGATTAAATAAGGAAAAGAGTTTGACATTCAATGTGTGATAAGTTTTTGGTAGATGTTAGCTGTAATCAGTCAGTTGATAGTAATAATAATGAGATGCTGAACATTAAGATATTATAGTAATTGTAGACTTAATTTATTCCTTCTATTCTTGTCACCATTAAAATTGGTAAGATGAAGCTACATTATTGTATTTTCTAATTTTAATTCTTAAAGTCAAAATTCCAGCTGTTCAACCAAAAAGGCATAAGTGGTGTTTTTGTGATGACTGCAACACTGTTGATCCACCTTTTCTTTCACAAAGAGAAAAAAGAAGAGAAAGCTATCCTGTGGTGAGTGAAGTTGAAATCCTTTCATTTTTTGCTTTAGATAGTATCATTCTTTGGGCCAGCTAGCCATTGGTTATTGCTGATACTCTTTCCATTTTAAGGACACACAGGTTGAAAATATTTTTTGTAACAAGAAAATAATATAGTTAATGAGCCAAGAAAATACGTCATGTAATTGATTCACTTATCTGAATTGAATATAGAATTATGAATTAGCTGCTATTCTTTAAAACTACGTTATGTTCTTTTCTTTTTTCACCTTCTCTGAGTCAGCATTTATTTTTTTAATAAATTAATTTTTTATTGGTGCTCAATTTACCAACATACAGAATAACACCAAGTGCTAATCCCGTCAAGTGCCCCCCTCAGTGCCCGTCACCCATTCACCCCCACCCCCCCGCCCTCCTCCCCTTCCACCACCCCTAGTTCGTTTCCCAGAGTTAGGAGTTTTTATGTTCTATCTCCCTTTCTGATATTTCCCACACATTTCTTCACCCTTCCCTTATTTTCCCTTTCACTATTATTTATATTCCCCAAATGAATGAGAACATACACTGTCCTTCTCCGATTGACTCCTTCCACTCAGCATAATACCCTCCAGTTCCATCCACGTTGAAGCAAGTGGTGGGTATTTGTCATTTCTAATGGCTGAGTAATATTCCATTGTATACATAAACCACATCTTCTTTATCCATTCATCTTTCGATGGACACCGAGGCTCCTTCCACAGTTTGGCTATTGTGGACATTGCTGCTAGAAACATCGGGGTGCAGGTGTCCCGGCGTTTCATTGCATCTGTATCTTTGGGTAAATCCCCAGAAGTGCAATTGCTGGGTCGTAGGGCAGGTCTATTTTTAACTCTTTGAGGAACCTCCACACAGTTTTCCAGAGTGGCTGCACCAGTTCACATTCCCACCAACAGTGTAAGAGGGTTCCCTTTTCTCCGCATCCTCTCCAACATTTGTGGTTTCCTGCCTTGTTAATTTTCCCCATTCTCACTGGTGTGAGGTGGTATCTCATTGTGGTTTTGATTTGTATTTCCCTGATGGCCAGTGATGCAGAGCATTTTCTCATGTGCATGTTGGCCATGTCTATGTCTTCCTCTGTGAGATTTCTCTTCATGTCTTTTGCCCATTTCATGATTGGATTGTTTGTTTCTTTGGTGTTGAGTTTAATAAGTTCTTTATAGATCTTGGAAACTAGCCCTTTATCTGATACGGCATTTGCAAATATCTTCTCCCATTCTGTATGTTGTCTTTTAGTTTTGTTGACTGTATCCTTTGCTGTGCAAAGGCTTCTTATCTTGATGAAGTCCCAATAGTTCATTTTTGCTTTTGTTTCTTTTGCCTTTGTGGATGTATCTTGCAAGAAGTTACTGTGGCCGAGTTCAGAAAGGGTGTTGCCTGTGTTCTCCTCTAGGATTTTGATGGAATCTTGTCTCACATTTAGATCTTTCATCCATTTTGAGTTTATCTTTGTGTATGGTGCAAGAGAGTGGTCTAGTTTCATTCGTCTGTATGTGGATGTCAAATTTTCCCAGCACCGTTTATTGAAGAGACTGTCTTTCTTCCAGTGGATAGGCTTTCCTCCTTTATCGAATATTAGTTGATCATAAAGTTGAGGGTCCACTTCTGGGTTCTCTATTCTGTTCCATTGATCTATGTGTCTGTTTTTGTGCCAGTACCACACTGTCTTGATGACCACAGCTTTGTAGTACAACCTGAAATCTGGCATTGTGATGCCCCCAGCTATGGTTTTCTTTTTTAAAATTCCCCTGGCTATTCGGGGTCTTTTCTGATTCCACACAAATCTTACAATAATTTGTTCTAACTCTCTGAAGAAAGTCCATGGTATTTTGATAGGGATTGCATTAAACGTGTAAATTGCGCTGGGTAACATTGACATTTTCACAATATTAATTCTACCAATCCATGAGCATGGAATATTTTTCCATCTCTGTGTGTCTTCCTCAATTTCTTTCAGAAGTGTTCTATAGTTTTTAGGGTATAGATCCTTTACCTCTTTGGTTAGGTTTATTCCTAGGTATCTTACGCTTTTGGGTGCAATTGTCAATGGGATTGACTCCTTAATTTCTCTTTCTTCAGTCTCATTGTTAGTGTATAGGAATGCCATTGATTTCTGGGCATTGATTTTGTATCCTGCCACGCTACCAAATTGCTGTATGAGTTCTAGCAATCTTGGGGTGGAGGCTTTTGGGTTTTCTATGTAGAGTATCATGTCATCGGCGAAGAGGGAGAGTTTGACTTCTTCTTTGCCAATTTGAATGCCTTTAATGTCTTTTTGTTGTCTGATTGCTGAGGCTAGGACTTCCAATACTATGTTGAATAGTAGTGGTGAGAGTGGACATCCCTGTCTTGTTCCTGATCTTAGGGGAAAGGCTCCCAGTGCTTCCCCATTGAGAATGATATTTGCTGTGGGCTTTTCATAGATGGCTTTTAAGATGCTGAGGAAAGTTCCCTCTATCCCTACACTCTGAAGAGTTTTGATCAGGAATGGATGCTGTATTTTGTCAAATGCTTTCTCTGCATCTAATGAGAGGATCATATGGTTCTTGGTTTTTCTCCTGCTGATATGATGAATCACATTGATTGTTTTACGAGTGTTGAACCAGCCTTGTGTCCTGGGGATAAATCCTACTTGGTCATCATGAATAATTTTCTTAATGTATTGTTGGAACCTATTGGCTAGTATCTTGTTGAGAATTTTTGCATCCATTTCATCAGGGATATTGGTCTGTAATTCTCCTTTTTCGTGGGGTCTTTGTCTGGTTTTGCAATTAAGGTGATGCTGGCCTCATAGAATGCATTTGGAAGTACTCCATCTCTTTCTATCTTTCCAAACAGCTTTAGTAGAATAGGTATGATTTCTTCTTTAAACATTTGATAGAATTCCCCTGGGAAGCCATATGGCCCTGGACTCTTGTGTTTGGGAGGTTTTTGATGACTGCTTCAATTTCCTCCCTGGTTATTGGCCTGTTCAGGTTTTCTATTTCTTCCTGTTCCAGTTTTTGTAGTTAGTGGCTTTCTAGGAATGCATCCATTTCTTCTAGATTGCCTAATTTATTGGCTTATAGCTGTTCATAATATGTTTTTAAAATCGTTTGTATTTCCTTGGTGTTGGTAGTGATGTCTCCTTTCTCATTCATGATTTTATTAATTTGAGTCTTCTCTCTCTTCTTATTAATAATGCTGGCTAATGGTTTATCTATCTTATTAATTCTTTCAGAGAACCAACTCCTGGTTTTGTTGATCTTTTCCACAGTTCTTCTGGTCTCTATTTCTTTGAGTTCTGCTCGAATCTTAATTAACTCTCTTCTTCTGCTGGGTGTAGGATCTATCTGCTGTTTTTTCTCTAGCTCCTTTATGTGTACAGTTAGCTTTTGTATTTGAGTTCTTTCCAGTTTTTGAATGGATGCTTGTATTGCGATGTATTTCCCCCTTAGGACTGCTTTTGCTGCATCCCAATGATTTTGAATGGTTGTATCTTCATTCTCATTAGTTTCCATGAATCTTTTAATTCTTCCTTAATTTTCTGGTTGACCCTTACATCTTTTAGCAGGATGGTCCTTAACCTCTACGTGTTTGAGGTCCTTCCAAACTTCTTGTTGTGATTTAGTTCTAATTTCAAGGCATTATGGTCCGAGAATATGCAGGGGATGATCCCAATCTTTTGGTATCGTTCAGACCCGATTTGTGACCCAGTATGTGGTCTATTCTGGAGAAAGTTCCATGTGCACTTGAGAAGAATGTGTATTCAGTTGCATTTGGATGTAAAGTTCTGTAGATATCTGTGAAATCCATCTGGTCCAGTGTATCATTTAAAGCTCTCGTTTCTTTGGAGATGTTGTGCTTAGAAGACATATCGAGGGTAGAAAGAGCTAGATTGAAGTCACCAAGTATAAGTGTATTATTATCTAAGCATTTCTTCACTTTGGTTATTAATTGGTTTAAATATTTGGCAGCTCCCACATTCGGGCCATATATATTGAGGATTGTTAAGTCCTCTTGTTGGATAGATCCTTTAAGTATGATATAGTGTCCCTCTTCATCTCTCACTACAGTCTTCGGGGTAAATTTTAGTTTATCTGATATGAGGATGGCTACCCCTACTTTCTTTTGAGGACCATTTGAATGGTAAATGGTTCTCCAACCTTTTATTTTCAGGTTGTAGGTGTCCTTCTGTCTAAAATGAGTCTCTTATAGACAGCAAATAGATGGGTCCTGCTTTCTTATCCAGTCTGAAACCCTGCGCCTTTTGATGGGGTCATTAAGCCCGTTCACGTTCAGAGTTACTATTGAAAGATATGAGCTTAGTGTCATCATGATATCTATTCAGTCCTTGTTTTTGTGGATTGTTCCATTGAACTTCTTCTTAAAGGGGAATTTTAAGAGTCCCCCTTAAAATTTCTTGCAGAGCTGGTTTGGAGGTCACATATTCTTTCAGTTCCTGCCTGTCTAGGAAGCTCTTTATCTCTCCTTCCATTTTGAATGAGAGCCTTGCTGGATAAAGTATTCTTGGTTGCATGTTCTTCTCATTTAGGACCCTGAATATATCCTGCCAGCCCTTACTGGCCTGCCAGGTTTCTGTGGAGAGGTCTGCTGTTACCCTAATACTCCTCCCCATCAAAGTCTGGGATTTCTTGTCTCTTGCTGCTTTAAGGATCATCTCTTTATCTTTGGAATTTGCAAGCTTCACTATTAAATGCCGAGGTGTTGAACGCTTTTTATTGATTTTAGGGGGGGATCTCTCTATTGGTTATGTTCTTTAGTTACTTCTTGTCCCATGGTGCCTGCCACTATCATATTGTATCTTCACCCACCCACTCCTCCAAAGAAGTTTTAGGATGCATAGTAGGTAGAAAAAACCCTGGAACCCAGGCAGAAAAGAGGAAAGCAACTGGGGTTAGCCAACCTGGAATCTCACATGGTTTATAGTGATAGTGGTTGCTGCATGTGAAACTCCTCATATAATAGTGAATTTTT